ACCGCTTAGGACGGTCGAGTTGTGTGAAAGTAGTGTTCGAGCCCGAGTCGTTGCCTACTCACGTCAAGGTTGGATATGTGCGTCATCCGGTACGCCCTTATGTACCGAGGCCTCTACAGTGCCATAAATGTTTGAAATTCGGGCATGTCAGTGCAGTTTGTAAGGGTGTGGTAACTTGCAAACGATGTGGTGGACCTCATGACGATGACAACTGCAACGCTGCCACAAATTGTCTTAACTGCACGGGCGCCCACGACGCAACCTCAAAGGGCTGTCCTAAAATGAGGAACCAAATAACTATCATGAAGAAGATGGTTAGGGACCACTCCACGCACAGAGAAGCTGCAAGGGCTGTCCGGCGCAGTACACGTCGTTCATGACACCGAAGCAAACGAAGGAGCAGTGCTAACCGAGTTGAAGAACTGACATCAAATGTCCAGGCTTCACCTTCTCGTCCTTTGCTTTTACCGACCAGAAATGAAGATGTCAGTGCTCCCGTACCTTCACAGCCGACGAATGGACGAGCCAACTAGCCACCGGCCCGTAATACTTCGGAGTGGCCTTCTTTACCATCAAGACCCACGTGTAAACCTTCCACGCATAATGCTGCTGAATGCAGCGAGCCGGGCGACAAGATGGATAATAATGACATCAAGAGTATGCTTAGAAATTCGATGGGTTCAATGCGCAAGATCCTTAGTGGTCTAAACACTCCGGCGGCTAAAGCTGCTGTCCAGTTACTTGAGGTGCTGGAGCCACTTCTTGTTGTTCTTCAGTAAGCGAACATGGCCTCGATGTTCGAAGATCGCATGGGGCAGACGCTTGTTATGCAGTGGAATGCTCGTGGTTTACGTGGCCGTCTCTCTGATTTCAGACAGCGGGTATTGAAATACCAGTTCCCAGTTATTGTCATTTGCGAACCAAACATGGATTCTACATTTCGTTTGTCTGCTGGGTACGTCCAGCTTTGGTCTCGCAGTAATCACCGTGCAAGCAAGGTGCTAGTTTGTGTACGCCGCGATATGACGTACGTACGACATGACATTCTGTCGCATACAACGAATGATTACGTTTGCTTGACTATAAAGTATAAGAGGCGCACGTTGTCAGTTATCAGAGGATACATTCATCCAAGTGCGAAGATGGACTGCTCTCACCTTAGGTCTGTGCTTCAGGCTGCTCAGAGCCCCCACATTGTCATTGGAGATTTCAACGCTCATCATCCCCCCTGGGGTAGCACTGTAATGAAGAGCCGTGGCAGAGATTTGTGCGACTTCGTGTGTAATTTTGTACTAAGGGTGCTGAACGACGGATCGCCCACTTTTATTCGGGGTACTTCTTACAGCAGCTGCCTCAACATTGCAATTGTATCTAGGAGTCTCCTGTCTTCTGCAGCTTGGTCCACGGATATAGAGACTCACGGTAGTGATCCCTTGCCAACATATGTTCAGTTTAGGTAGTACCGCCTTCCAGCCACACTCTGCGTTCATCAAACAGACTGGCGTCTCTTCAAGTCATCTGGGAAAACCAGCTGTCAGCGCGCTACTACACCATTTGAAGTAGAAGGCATCCTTTCTTCGTCCCTGCGTGACACAACAAGACAAGTTACCATTCCGCTGTAACGATCAGCTATCGACTTACTAAACGAGGCCCTTCGTGCTGTCCGTCGCCACGCAGAACGGCGATACAGAAGAACAAGATCACCGTCAGACCTCTCAGCCGGTCGTCAAGCTGAACGACACGTTCTTCGGCATCTCGACAAGCTGGACAGGCAACGATGGAGGTCGTTCTGCAGTTCTTTGGACCCAAAACAGCCTCTCTCTTAAATCTGGCGGATAGTACGAAGTTTACAATCTTCTCCACAACAAATTTGGCTATTGCGTGCGGTGGCTCTACATCAGGGTCGGAGTGAATCAGAGGTAGCCAAGGACTACTGTAGCCTTGTCGTTTCCACCGCTGACACTGTGACCCAAACTCTTACCACCACTGTGCCCCCGTGCTTCGACCAACGCCTCGAAGTGCCTTTTACAACGCAGGAACTGGACGCTGCAATTTCACTTTCCCGGCGCTCATCGGCACCCGGGCCGGACGGAATTACGTACGCTGCACTTCGCCATTTTGATACAGAAGCACGACAGATCCTGTTATCTTACTACTACACCTCCTGGGAGTCAGGAAATTTTCCAGATAATTGGAAGTGCAGCCGCATAATCGCACTGCTTAAACCGGGGAAGTGCCCTAATGAGCTTTCATCTTACCGGCTGATCGCCTTGAGCAGCTGCGTTGGCAAAGTCATGGAAAGTATGGTATTGTCGAGATTATAGTGACTCTTAGAGAGCAATAATCGCTTTCCTGCGTTCATGAACGACTTTAGGAGAGGCCGATCAGCCATTGACAGGGTCCTCAACTTGGTCTCCGATGTTGAACAGGAAAGATGTCGAGGCAGATTAGTGGCAGCTGTTTTTCCTGACACTAAAGGCGCCTACGACAATGTCTTACATTATGCCATCCTTGGTGCGCTTGAGGATCTAGAATTCGGCGGCCGACTGTATGCATGGATCATGAGCTACCTTAGCGACCGTACCGTGTATATGTCAACAAGCGATGTAGATACAGACCATTATAACATTCACTGTGGTGTTCCCCAAGGGAGTGTTCTCAGTCCGACACCTTTTTAACATCACCTTGATTGGACTTGCTACTGAACTTCCTGACACGGTGAAGGTGAGCACATATGCGGACGACATCTTCTGGAGCTACGCGCCCCCAACTGCGTGCTCGACTACAACGTGCAGTGACCATTACAGCAAGGTCTCACACTGTCAACTGAAAAATGCGCAGTGCTTGCATTTCCACGAAAACAAATGACAAGATACCCACTAACTGTGAATGGAACAGAAATTCGTGCTGTTGTGCAACAAAGATTCCTGGGTGTTTTCTTCGGCCGGAATATATCGTGGTCAACACACGTCACAGCCTTGAAGTCGAAGCTCAAGAGTTTTGTCCACGTTCTTCGGGTCATGGCCGGAGCAAGATGGGGCCCTTCGGAGGCAGCTCTGCTGCAACTGTACCAATCTTTATTCGTAGGGTACTTACGATACAGCATGCCCGTGCGGCGTTCAAACATGAAACCCAGTTGTGCGAGCACGCTAGAAAGAGTCCAAGATCAAGGGTTGCGCACATGTTTGGGCTTACCTCAATGCACATCAACCAAGGGAACTCTCGCCGAAGCTCGGGCTTGTCCAATGAAAGTATATGTGCTCTGCGAGCCTCTCCGAGTCCACCTTCACCTGTTGACTCGACACAGGCAACATCCCCTATCAGCTCTCCCTGCCAGCCACCGAGACTGCAGTTATTCAAGAGCTATATCGCGGCTCGAGAACACCATACCGCCAATATTTTCTCCCCCACGTGTTCCTGAGACGCCTCCGTGGCTCTTGCCTAGACCACTTGTCAAATTTCAGATTCCCGGGATTATGAAGAAGTCCCTTGTATCATCGATCGGCCTAAAGCAACTTACACTGCAGCACATTTATACTATGTACGACGGTGTGGCACACGTAAATACTGATGGATATACCACGTCGCGTACCTCCGCCGCTGCTTTTGTCATCCCGCAGATGAAGATAGCTCGACGTTTCAAGATAGATCACAAGACCACATCAACAGCCGCGGAACTTGTTGCTATTCGGGAGGCAATACGTTTATGTCGACAGAACCCGCTCGTAAATGGACAATACTGTGCGATGCCAAAGCTGCTCTTCAAACTATCGATGGCTTCATGAGACAAGGTCCATATCATACTTTATCGATTGAAATAGCAGAGATTCTTGGCATTGCTACAAAAAATGGACATTATGTGACATTTCAATGGATACCTGCTCATTGTGGCATAATGGGCAATGAAGCGGCGGACGCTGAAGCTAAGAGAGCTTTAAATGGTGCCCCGGAAGTGTGCATCGCATTTTCTCGTCAAGACACTGACATCCTACTTCAACGCGTAATGCGCAACTCCATCTTAGAGCACTGGCAGAAACCAGAACATCAGCACAAGCGGCTGCACAAATGGGACCCGGAAATGAAGTTCCGTATGCCTCACAAGTTAAAGCGAAGCATCTCATGCATTATCCACCGCATTCGCCTCGGTGTGGCTTACACGAGACGTTACACCCACTTGATTGGCTGTAATGACACAGGTCCCAATTGTGGTCGCTGTCGGTTGCCAGAAACGCTCGAACATATATTTTGCGACTGTCCAGCATATGCAAGCTAACGTCAGCAACTGATATCTTCGATTGGCCGATATATTAGTCGACCATTAACCGATGAGGTTGTGTTAGGTCCTTGGCCTGACACCAGCAGCACACATGTGGTTATCCGAGCCGCCATCGCTTTCTTAGAAGCCACTGGACTGGATGCACGTCTGTAGAGTTACCCAGCCTAATAAGAACATATCATCTCTCTACCTTACCATCGTCATTCATCACTCTTTCACTCCCCAGTCACCCTTCCCCAGTGTGGAGTAGCAGGCCAGAGCGAACTATAGCTCAGGCCGACCTCTCTACCTTTCTGTAAATAAATTCTCTCTCTCTCTCTATTTTCGATGAACAAAGCAGTGACATGCAGCCTTAAATTCGTCGTGAAATTCCATGTAAGCCCGGGGGCCTCAACAAGTTAGATCATTAGAGGATGTGGAATACAAGCTTTTATTTTTCTACACAGTGGCATATAGGGCTGGCGGCACCGGGGGTGTTTTTATACTCCATTCTTTGCCGTACTACGCTGACGATATAGTGTCATTAGATGTTTTCATGTGGATTAGTTATGTTTTTGACGTATATTATAGTTAGAGGTATAATATAGTATAATATAGTTATAGTCATATTTTATAGATATATTAGTCATATGGCTTAGTTATACACAATCTTTCCAACAATAAGTGCCATAGAAAAGCTTTTGGCAGTAATGAATAATTCTGTTCTGTGTTGTATGATCTACAGATGTCCGTGTGATGCCATAGTACTTTTGGGACCAAAGCAACACTAGAAGAAACAAGAAAAGAACACTGCTATCTCTCAACTGAATTGACCCATTGCGTCACTCCACTCTTTGTACTAACCAGATACGAGTAGCGTTTGTGTCAAGCATGCCATCCGCACAACTGCAAGAACTTTGTCATCCGAACGCTCTCATGACAGCACATCGAAAAAACGAAACTCACTGGCAAACAAGGTTATGTACGCTAATGGACTGCAAACTGAAATAAAACGCTTCTTATAATTATTGGTTGGTGGTGTCGCGACCCTTCATTCAGAGAGTCTCACTCCAAAATAGAGCTTTACAATTGCACTCTTTGCAGTGCATAGCTAAATGGGAGCTTCTGTCAGTCGACAGAGATCGCTCATGTTATTTAGGGTGCTCATTGACACATCGGCGCGACTTACACACTTTGCCATAAAAGAGCGTAATATTGTAGGCCACCCTTATGCCCCAGTCAACCAACTTAAAGTGTTTGTTTTCTTACAGACACGCCCCACAGCCTAGACAGTTTCCGGAGGACAGAAAATACAACTGAGATTTATTACCTTGCGGCCATATTCATAAATTGTGAGCCACTCTGCGGCAATAAAACACAACTAAAGGCGTCTTCTCCTGTCTGTCCTTTCTACACCTCTGGCGCTTGCTTTATTTTTGAAGCAAAGCTTCAGAGACTGCCACACTTGGGTAAGGCGCATACTGCGACCTTTTCAACTGCGCGTTAAGTTCTCGTTAGCGGTGTGATGGTGCTATTGTGTGAATGATGATTTAGGACACATCATGGCAACGTTGCGTTTCACAACTTTAGATTGCGCAGACTGGTACTGAAAAACGTGGTTGATCCCTCTTTTTCGGAATTGGTACGACTCTAAAATGAAACGTGTCTTCTTACCATATTAACTGTGGCACATACCCACTTCCGCTATAATTCCTCATCGTCGTCCGCCAAGAAAGAACAATTGCCAAGAACTTCGGAGGCGAAGAACAATCTCCGTGAGGCCTCGTCGACGGGCGGCAGGTTTGCTCTAGAGTTTAACGTTTGGTTGTTTGTGTTTTTGTGGTTTTTTGGCAGTTTATGGTTTGTGCTATTTGATTTTCAATGATCAAGTGACTCAGGCTATCTCGATGTCGGTTTCTTCACCTGACCAAGGGCCTTCCCTTGGCTAGCTTCATACCGGACAAGAATTGGCCGATTGATTCATTTCTATGCAGTGGCGTTATCAACGTCCACGTGGCTCTCGTACCGACCAATGGAGGTTGGTACCAGAGCAATACCAATGGAGCAATGCCAATGAAGATTCCGAAAGTGATTCAAATGGAGCTTCGGAAAGCCACATCACACTTTCATAAGATCACCGAGGTCCGGCATTTCGGTCGTGGTGGTGTTTTGTGCATCTCTGACGATCGGGGGAGCATCTGAGAGCTTCTCAGTTGTTCAGAGTTTGCAGCGCATCCGGTTAGCCCATTTATTCCAGCCCACCTTGCATGTTAGAAAGACATAATTGCGGTGCACAGATGAGCCTGATGTGGGGTTGTGGCGCCATGCTTGAGAAGGATGCGCACTGTTTGTCGTATCGTTGTGTGCTTTATATTGAGATGACATTGCAGACCCGCACACGTGAATGTCAGCAGTCAATTACGTGTGTACGCGTCGCTTCGTGGTGTTGTCACAGAACGCCTACCAGTTTAGAGAACATAAACTGTATTTTTGGGCTGTTGTATTAAAATAACATGCAAATACGTAGCGGCGGCGTACTGAACTACATTACCGCGAGGCTAGATGGCGCGGGTAGTACTATTATCATCAATAAACGAACGCATTTTTCTTTGGCTGCAGGTGGGGGGCTCACGTCTGGTTCGCGCTGCTCGATTCCTCTGGCATTTTTTTTTCGTTCTTTAAATCGCGCTTTGCGTCTGTAATTATCGCCAGGTGACCTAGCTGGCCTCGACTGGCAAAAAACAACGTCAATCAAGTAACGTTTGCATCGTTTATTGCGAGTGTCCAAGCCAGCTTAGAACCAATATATACGGTCGGGTCCGAACAAAACAAGTCACTCATACATATCGAAAGCTTTCAACCTATTTGTAAAGACTCTTGAAAGCTAACAAGCATATGCATATAACTGAACATCGAGATCGCTGAATGAGCGTCGCTCTCATCGTGTTGCGGCGTTCGACTTTAATAGCGTGGCTTCAAGACAAGGGTCCGAATTCTGCCGCCGGATGCGGCGCTTGCCCTGTAGTGTTGATCTTGAAGTGAAGTGAATGCATGATGTGAAATCGGGAAGGAAACTTGCACATTGCCGATAGATAGCTCGCGCAGTTAGAGCAGTGTAGTTTTGCTAAATTTGTTAAATAAGCGATTGTGGATGCGTGCATCTCTGAATCATTCTTGCTCTGCAATGCTACATTGAGTACTTCACAATTCTGCAATGTCGCGTCGTGTCGAGAGGGTAAGCACCAGTTTTAATACTTAGCCGTGAGCCCATATCGTAGGTAATATATATTGAAGTGATGAACCTGAAAATATTTCATGCTTGCTACATTTATTGTTAGAGTTAAGTTATACAGTTACTACAGCTAGAATTGCTCCTCGCAGGTAACGACTGATTGCTGAGAATGCCGCGAACATGTATGCTTAAGGAACAGTTCTGAGGTCTGTGCTTACAGATCGAGAAGACCCGGCTCTAAGAACATAATCTTTAGGCATGCATTGCACAATTTTCTTGTTTGTACATCTTTGTTGGTGCTGGTACAGTGCACTATCTGCTCAGCTCTGAGCACAATCTCTCTTTTGTATAGACATATCGATAGAACTTGAGCGCTTTCTTGCAAGCAAGCACTCCTGAAATCAATTGTGCGTACATGATGTGAATCTTTCCAAATACTGGCTCAATAAAGGTCACATATATTGCACACTTGTTATTGTATTTACTTTTTTAGTATACTTGTGCTTGAAAGCTTAAGTTGTTTTCTCCCTGCTACTTATCTTTTAGATGTTAGTACTTGAGATACGTACTATCTTGCAGTGTGGCTGTGAATAAGTCAAGATCATGTATGTTTCAACTACATGTGCAAATTCCTAGATTTTTTCAATGACTGTAGTGCACAGAATTTCACTTGATAGTGGTAGACACTATAGCTATAACAAGTTAATTTACACAAAAGCAGATGTGCTCAAAGAAATCTGGGACGTTTCTCTGCTATATGAAAAAAAAAACAGTACCACATCCAGTGAACACAATCTTGCTCTTTACGACAGCGTTCCTGTCTTTGATGAAGCTGTACTGCAGGTGTTCTTCCCCTTTATTATTTATTAATTTAGGAGCCTATTGAGCATATGTGCAAAGCTAAAGCAGCTGAGTACAGCCTCATCAGCTTTGGCGCATCTTTTTTGTAAACTCATATGAGACAAAACTTGTATGAGACAAAACAATTCTGACTATAGATTGTAAACTGTTTCACAAGGCACAACTAAATGTTGGAAAGCCCCACACTTAGAAGGTGTTCATATTGTAATGCAATTATTATTTCTTACGATTCACATGCCAACTATGAAGTGATCGTGAGTCGTAGAGAAGTGGGCGAATATAGATTGATTCTGGCTTCCAGGGGTGAAAGCAAATGACATTGTAGCCTCGCAGGAGAAAAGATTGCTTGTAGAAACATATGCCCTGACATCTCATGTTGACAGATCTTTTTATATTTTCAAGCTTCCGTCTTTTAAAGGTCAGTTTAGTTCACCAGCACTGATGAGAACTGATTCACAGCTGGGCACGAGAAGTTCAGAACTTGTGCAGCACGAGTTCAGTAGTGCGGCATCACAAGTGAATGACAAGGTGGAATCTTTATTTTTGTTCGCTTAATTTAATGAGGTGCAAACATCTTGGCAAAACACGCCGCGTTTGTACAGGCGGGTACGGCACCTACGTCTAATGCTATGTTGCTTGTTAAGCTGTGCGTGCGGCTGCACCAAACCAGTGCCGTCAGAGTTGCAGGTACAGGAAAATCACGCACTAGGTGCTGTACCTCTCCTGCACTTCTTGAAATGAATGGCACGGTTTAGAGGATGCCATTGCTGCACCACTGAAACGAATGGCGAGGTGCAGCCCTTTGTAAAATGGATCATGTTGTGCAGGCGAATTGAACAAACCTTTAAGCCCACAAGCGACTTAGCATTTCACTCCCATCGAAATATGGCCACTGTGGCTGGGATCAAACCTGTGTTTTTGAGCTCAGAAGTGCCACAAAATCTAACTAACAGTGTTACAGATTCAACGTTATTGAAGTGTACATTCCATGCTTGTGGCCAATCTAAAGCACCCCTCCACGATATGCGTGGCGAAACATTCACAAATACAGCATTGCATGTGTGAGGTTCGAGATGACCTGTTGTAGTGGATGTTCAGAGAGATAGAGATTAACTTTATTTAAACGTATCCCGAGGAGGCTGAGAAAGGGCCATTCCGACCCTTAATTCAACCTGGAGGCTCCGCCCAGGATGGCGCTGGCAGCCGAAGGCTTGTAGCGATGTCTTGGGCCCTCTGGACCGCCTGTAGTTGCAGCTCGTATTGATTGCTCTTGAGGGCTTCCTGCCAAGCCTCTTGGGTATTCAGTTGTGCTGCGCTATGGGTAGGGCACAGCCAGAGCATGTGTTCGAAATTGCAATATGGATGGTTGCAAAGGGAGCATGTGGTGGTGTGTCGGGGTCGACTCTGTGTAAGGTGGATGGTGTTATGTACGTACGTGTTTGCAACCTTCTGAGAGTTAGAGCTTGTGCTTTGTTAAGTTTTGGGTGCAGTGCTGGGAAGGCACGTCTTTGTCCCCGGTAATTGGAAGTGATCTCGTGGTATGTGAGTGCTTTGTCCTGGTTGCAGAGATTCTCGTACCGCTCACTCATCGAGGGGTCGTTCTCCGCGGCGCGGCGTGTGAGCTCACGCGCCAGGCGGTTGACCTCTTTGTTGGGATTGCAGTGGTCGAGTCCCGGTAACTGTCACATGTAGGCTGGGAACCAGAATACGTAGATTTGAGCTTTCTCTCCCTTAACAAGGGTTTCTTTGCTCTCGTACTCTCTTATTGCGTTGACGGTGAGTTTTCCAGTGCTTCTAGCTACTAGGCCAGCCGCGAACGTTCGTGCCGCCGTCTTAGAGTCCGTGTCTATTGTGGAGTAGGCTTGGCAGCTTTGCAAGGCTAGCGCGATCGCCATTTCCTCTGCTTCGTGGACATGGCTTGTTTGGACGGTTGCC